CCGGAAAACATAGCTCTTGCACGAGGGATTTCTTTTAGCAGAAAACCTATTAATTTAGAAATTTGTGAAAGGGTTTCGAGCAGGGTTTGAGGACCTTTATAGGCTTAAGAAGAACAACAATCGAGAAAATCCAACTATTAGTCGGCACAGAGATCTTGTATCCCAAATTGTAGGCCATAATTTGATAAGACGTGTCCATGTGGACTCCAGTCGTGTCAAAAGCTCGCGATCCAAATACATGAGGAGTTTTTGTCATATCATGTTTTCCCAGAATGTGTGACAGAACATTTAATCCAAACGTAAAAAGGGGTCAGTACAAGTGCCTGTAGCTCATTCTAAAATGTGAGGGCTAGATGATATAGCGTCCGGAATAGCTCAAGGGACCACCTAAGAGTGGTCAACTGGGTCACGCTGGTCCAAAGAAGCTTAGGCTTAGCATCAGCAGTTGAACGAGTTTGTGAGTGCGTAATGCAACTAAGGGTACTGGTCGACCTGATAAAGAAGGACTAGAGGTCGCGGACTTCTAGGAGCTCAATTACATGCAATGATACCGCACCACAAGGAAGAGGTTGAGGTATCGACCTGGTACAAATAAACTAATGGTAGGTAGGTTGAGTTGTTGAGTTGCGACCTAGGGAGTAGAGTGTCGTATAGAAAGAAAAGATAGAATCTTAATATGAAAGAAAACATGTATATCGACAAGATCTAGAGGCGTGGTAAGTTAGGATAGCGGACCGGTTAGATCTTTACTAAGTACTTTTGTACGACAAGACACCTTATATAAGGGTAACCAGGTTCTATGTCATTCTTCTTCTCATATTCATGTTTACTAAAGAACTTATTTTTTTCTAGTTTTCTCCCTCGACCATACACTGGCTTGAGCTTCGGAGGTTCTACGTCGAGATCACTCCCTCTTCAAAGCTAAAAAATATTGATAGTAGTTTGTGCTGTTTCGGTTCAACTCATGCGAATTTGCGTATCAGATGCCCTATATTTACACTCCCCTAGGCCCTAACCTCTACCCCCAACATCCACAGTCGCTTCCCCCTTTCCCTCTTTGTACCCTTTACTCTCTCGCTTCCCCATTCCCTTTTTGTACCCCTTACTCTTACAAACATTTCGGACAAAGGGCCGTACAGTGGCAGTCGGTGAAAGCAAGGTAAAACCTCAAGGAAAACGAGCGACCAACAAACTTTTTTTTTGTTGAAATCATTCAGGAAACATTTTTTCTAAAATTTTGTGTAAATAAATAAAAATATAGTGCACAAAATTTCAGAGACTAATAATGCAAACACATTAAATATCTAGTTTTTCTCCATTGGAGATTGGTCGTTTTTGTTTTAGTTTGTGCTGTGTAATCTATGTTTCTTTCTAGTGTAGGTTTTAAGCGATCTTCAAATCTATCTTTCCATTTTTATTTGGCTTCAGCTGTCTATCAACTTTGGATTGTCTTCTCGTGGCTTTAATAAAATCTCTATGGTTTGAAAGAAAAAAAAAAAGATTTATACATTTACCCATTGTTGCGGGAAATGAAACAATGGGTAAAGATTGAGGTTCGAATGTAACAAAATGCTTGTCAGAATTAAAGTTCAAAATATTGATCAATTACTAAAGATATTGACGGGTGTTATCACCATTGCAATTTTAATGCCCCACTTTGATTTAAATGAAATTTCGGACTTTCCAAAAGTCAATAAAACATTTTCGAACTCATTTTTGAAATCATGGGCATTACTCAACATTTACATAGATCAAGTCATGTCTGATCTCACGGGGATTCATTACCCGATTTTTACATGGTTTTCATTAACCGATAAACAAAGCATTTCACATGTTATTCAGCAATCACAATAGCATGAATAATCGATCATGATATTCAAGTAGCACACAAATGAAAATATCCAAAACACATGTTTCCCAAAAAGAAACGAATCCAACATAGGTTTTCAAAATAATCCAAAACCCAACATTTTCAAATCCCAAGTTTGAAAACAATTTCAACATGTCTAAGAAACTCAAACATGAGATTGATAAAGACCAAATGACATGCGGAAGCAAAATAAGCAATAACATATGACCGGCCACTCGTCCTCTCCTCGTCATACTCGCAACCTGCTCAACCCGGTGAAGAAAAATGGGGGTGAGCACAAATGGAAACCGTGGTGCTCACCACTATGCACGTAAAGAACAATATATAATGTAAAGAGGGTATAGTTGAGCATGAACATAAATCAATCAACATGTCACATATCCAATCACAACACACCAATTCACATTACTCATGTGTACACACCTATCACTAGACTACTGCTGGTCTATTCGAAGACCCGCTATGTGACTTAGTTCGTCACCCATACAATAGGAGTACATGTCGAAAGCACGCCATGTGTCTCAGTTCGACATGCATATGAAAAGCACGCCATGTGACTTAGTTCGATATGGCCCGCCCTGGACTTAGAGAGACTGCCTCACAAAGACACCGTATTACATCGACGGGGACAACCGTACCGATGATCGTAACAGCTCAGATCGACAGGTTACATGGTTAACATGCATACATTCATCATACCGACCCAACAAAATATAAACAATTTACAGCGTAGCAATTTAAAATAACCCACCTAATATCAAGGTGGAGAATTACACACAAAGCAGGTACGTAAGTTGAGGGCTCGACTCCTCAAACACCTACATTTAAGGGAGATACTACATCAATAATCTATCTCACTGGTTGACTGTAATATAAAATCCACACTCAATCAAAATTAAGGCATAAGGGTTTTAATCGGATTTTTCGTAGACTTTGAACTCACACATTTTTGAAAATTAGGACTCGGAGAATCAAAATTGGAGTTTCGGGACTTAAAAATAACTTTTATCAAATTTTTCTCAATTGAAAATAATTTTAAAAATAAAAACCGGTATGAAAAACAGGCTCCCGAACACAAATTTTGGCTTAAAAGGTCGTCTGGGTCGCGTTGGGAAGTATCTGGTCCAAGACTGCCCCGCATTGGGCCTTGCGCGCGCTAATTGGGCTGTTGGGAAAGGAAAAAGGGCCACAAAATTAAGGCCTGCTAACAGGCTATGAGGCGCGAGCTGGGGATCGGGTTTGCGGGTCGAGGTTGACTGTCTGTAACCGGGCCACGCGGGTTGGATGCGGGCCGGACGACCCACGCATGAGTCTCTCACCTAAACTGGGCTACAGGGGTACTTTTTGGGCTGCTGGGGGAAAGGCCATGCATGACTCCTCTTGGGTTACTAAAAAAAAGAGTTGGGCTGTGGGGATTAGAAATAGAAATATAAAATGGCCCGCTGTTTTGAGGTTTGGACAGAGAACGACTGCAGTAACAAAATGCTTCTAAACAAACATCCGATGACAGATTTCAACAGAACTTGAGCACGTCGAGGGTTCGGAAATTTAACGAAAAGAACACCATAATAACCGAACTTTCAGAGTTCCGACATTTTATAAAATCGGGATTAAAAATGGTTCGAAAACGAAACAACATGGTTCGAAAACAAACGAACGACACCTCGACGGTGGCAAAGCTCGAAACAATAAAACGAGACTCCGAACTTAAACGAATTTATCATAGCAACATCACGATATACTCGATTTAACAAAATCGAGAGTTCCAATCATCCACGAATCTCACTTGAACATACAAAAAAAATGACGAATATACGAACCGACCAAATATACCATAATCGATTCAATGAGCGAATAATTCCAGCAACATGATAGCACAAAAAATATAACAGTAAGGTTCGAAATAGATTACCCGTCTTCGGGAATCTACGAGCTTCCTGAAAGTGGTCGGTCGAATGGGGCGAACGAACGGGCCTTGAAACTCGAAACCTTCGAACACGGTGAAGGATGACCGCTGATCTCCGAAGGCTCGATCTCTCTGCAGCGTGGACATCGACGTCGGACAGAAATTTTGGAAACGCGACTAACGGAGATGGACAGGTTGTCGGAGCTGGAAGGTCTCGCCGGAATCAATGGCGGACGAAGCTTCTGCTTGTTTTTCACGAGGGCGGCAAGAAACTTCTTGCTGGGAACGGACGACGTCTGCTGCAAACGGTGTATACTGATCGAAGCATCGCCGACAAATAGCTGAGGTTTTCCGGAGATGATGGTGGTCCGCCTGTAACAATGGCAGCGAGAAATTTTTTATTTATTTATTTATTTATTTTTAAAACCATGCAGGTATACAAGAGAAGGATATGAGAATATAAGTTGAATCTGAGATGATAACTCCTCGACGAGTCTTATGAATACGGGATTGAGAACGTGCGACGAGAATAATAGAAAAATCGCAACGGAATCTTGAGGAGCGGTGGAAGGAGACGACCAGTTCTCTTGCACGTGAGAATTTGGGCATGGTTTAAATATCCCCAAGTGGGCCGATGAATGTTAATTCCCATGGGTCAAAAAGCTTAACCACTTGGGGTGGAATAATAAGTTCCAATAAAGTCAAGAATTATATCGAGAAATATCGAACGACTAATCGATTGACGACGATCAATTTATAGAATATTATGACTCATTAATTTAACTAGACAAGAGCATCTAATTAATTAATATAAGTCCAAACAAAATTGTCGAGCTATAATACAATATAGACAATTAATATGAATAATAATAATAATAATAATGCAATAATTTAATAATTCGAAAAAATCCAGTAAACAAACGGGGCTTCACAGTGATCATCATGGCATACATAGCTTAATGAAAATTACATCTCAAACAAAACATATGGCCTGCCTAGGTACCTTCTTCACCAAACATTACAACAATCACAAAAAAGTGGCCTCATTGACAATCTTCCTAATTGGCGAGGCCGGTGGTAAATTACAGTAAAGCACAAGCATTTCAATGTGGGGGTCTGCTTGCCAGCACAACCCGATTTTGAGCTCCACCGACTTCTCAGTTCTCAGATAGTCCACATCCGATTCAGCTGTTCCTTTCCAGGTTCATCCAACCAAACACACCATTAATCCTCTTCGCTCCACGCTCCATGCTCGTCATCAGAAAGGCCCTCCGGCGGATCATAGACAATCATGCCAGGGAACAGTTCCAAAAAATCGTCCTTCACCTTCTCCCTGAGCTCGGGATATGGAACAAGCCCTTTTAATATTACGCGATAGGGCAAGGACAGAGGCGGGTCGGGCGAACATCTCATCTCGTCATTATATATCCACATGGCCTCGTCCGGCAACCCGTTATCAAGAAAGGCCCTGATGAGGTCCCCAAAAGTGTGCTGATCAAAAAGGACTTCCTCTCTCTTCAGATCAGCCCAAACTGTTTTTGCTTCATCGATTTTTTTGTTCCGGGCTAGCATCATTAGCATGTCCCGGTAGAAAAACATGTCGGGTCGGTACCAGGTTTCCTTGCGCACCACATCGTACAACTGCAATAAAATTTTTTATTTCGATACTTTTATTTTAGAAGGACCAAAAGTTTTTGCAATGGATAAAAATAGGGCAGGAATCCGGTAAGTTCAGTTGAAGACTGATGGTTAGTTTCTTCCTCGTGAAGCTGTTTCATAGTCTTAATGGGACAACAGCATAAAAACTTGTGAGTGTTGAATCCTCCTTAAAGCAATTTATTCCAACATACACACTTTTCACGAGATCAAGAGACCATCATAGGGTGGTTTTTTTCGGCTAATGATTTCAATTTTGAATCTATAGTTTCAAAAAGGCTTTTCTGGTGTGGTTTGCCTAATCTGGAATGGTTTGTGAAGTATTCGCTTCAAAGATGGCCTAATTAACTGAAGCAACATATCGAAAAAAAGCTGGCCAGAAGGATAAAATAAATCTGCAAAAAGCATGATAAAGTCCTAAAGAGTCAGAATTCAACCTCACAGACCTATCTCCCATTCCCATATGCACTTCAGTGTAAGCTATTATTTTGATTTCATAGGCAATTTATCAGAATCTCCTCACAACATACAACTCAAATCCAATTGACAGCTCAATTTAAGCCATAACACACTGAAATACAAAACGACATCTGATTTCTCTGATTTTCGCAATTTGTAAAAACGTTGGAGTGAGCGAAGCATCTACTAATGGAAAAGATATCTCGACCAGACAAAACTAACACAGTTTCAAATCAGAACCAAATTTAACTATTGATTGCTCCTCTAATCAAGTAAGAGGATGTACAGAACTAATTAAATTATCAATTAACTGAAATGAGTAATGACCTTCATGGAGAGGGATACGAGGTTCTGTCGCTGAAACTCGGCGAGGACGGCGAAGAGGTCGGACTTGAGGAGGCGGGAAACGTTGGCCTTCATGAACCGCTCGAACCGCACGGGCTGGCACTGGAGGCGCTTGAGCTCCTTCGCCACCATCAAACCCTCCTTCCCCATTTCCTTCTTGCGCCGCCATATCGACAAGCTAGGGCTTGAGGCCGCTCCGGTGATGACGTGCCTAGCGTAGGCCACACGCGGCTGTAGCTGGCGGCGTGAGGCGTCACGCAGCAGATGATTACCCTGCCGCCACATTCACCGTGAAAAATGAAGGAGACCACGGGAAATTATGTAGCAATAAAATGTTCAACAGAAGTTGTTTTGTACAATCTATTCTTGGTTTTTGTTTGGCGATAATTAATATTAATAGTGTATAAACGCTGTAAATAAAATTTTATATGTTACATATATATAGAAGTGTGCTTAAATGAGAAATAAGAATGGATTGATTCATTGCCTAAATTATATTAATGATCATGATGAAATTAAAAATTAATCAATAATGTTCAATCATTAAAGGCAGTATGGTAACTAAATAAATATATGGTGGTCAAATGTATACAAACTACCACTGAGGGTAAAATAGTCATTAATCAACTCACCGATCCTAACTTCTCTCTCACACACACACACACACCCACACTCAAATCACACCCTTCTTCTCACACGCACGTGCGGAGGTCGGAACACACACACAGAGCCACCAACAACCACCTGCCCCGCCACCGATACGGCATGTCGCCAATAACAAGCATAGTCGGTGATGTTAACACCGTCGCCGCCATAGACCGCCGCCGTCACGAGCCGACCCACCATCAACATCCTGCTACGCCTCAGTCGTTGTCACAAGCTCAGGCGGTCGCGTTGATCCCGCTGCCACAACTAGCCGCCGTCGCCATCCCCCAACAACAAAGCCACTGCCACCACATACTAGCCGGAGATTCAACGTTGAATCCACAATCGCCGGCATCCGTCGTCTTCCTCTGCATCTCTGCCGCTGTCGATGGTTGTCTTAAGGTACGACCACCAGCAACTCGCCTGAATTCGGAATCCCATCGAATATTGACATTTTAAGTAATCTCGAGCACCGGACGCAGATCTAACGAGTGGTTACGCGGCGAGATGTCGAATACCATCGGAAGGTTAACTATCTTGCAGCCTACAAAGATGACCGAAATCTGAATTTAAAGGGCTAACAGGCGGTGCATCGGTAAGTTGGCGTGACCAGCGTTCATGTGCCATCAATTGCACAATTCTCACGAATTTGTGTGGAGATGGTCTGCCTTTTGAAATTAAATTTTTTAACTCGATTGATATTGTAACACCCCACTATCTTACTAGTATCGGAGTAAAAATTTTGCAAAACTTTTCTAAAAATACTCAACAGCTTGCGAATTCTAAACTCGGGATGCTACTAAAAAACATGTTTGTACTGGAGATCCGCTTTCTTTAAATTGGGCCTAACAACCTAGGTTAGACATAAAGAAAACAGAGTATCAAACATGCATATGCTACTGGACCCAAGTCGTACTAATGGACTAGGTAATATTGCTATTCTGAAATACTAACATGCAAATTCGATAACTATAAACTGAACTGCAAGCGAAAGTAGCTAAACGTGGTGAATATAATATATTATATACAAAAGTCCACAAAACAGCATATAGCCGAGTCTACGACCACAACCACCAAGCTGAGCTCACACCTTCGGCCCGACTCTGTTATCTGAAAAAGAAAGAGGAGTGGGGGCGTGAGCACGAAAGGCCACTGCGCTTCACAGAAACCCATACTAAAGTAAACAACAATAATAAAAATAATATCATGATCGACTTTATATATAATCTGAAACTGATACTGTAACTGAAACTGAAACTGAATCTATAATTGTACTGAAATCTCCCGGCAAATCTGGACCCATAACCATGTGCACACTCTAGTGGAATATTAAGGAAAACTAGGGCCACCACCAGAACTTAGGATGGAATATTAAGGCGAACTGGGGCCACCACCCTCAGCGGATACTGTAAATACATACCTTGAACATGATATTTGTAATTATACTCAATGTAATACCCAGTCTGAGTCCCCACCTGTACTCTCGAACTGAAATGTAAATGCTAAACTGGAATACTCAAACTGTAAAAATATATAAATAAACAGATACTAAGTGCTATGCTCATATATACTTAAACGGATGCTATAATGCTCGACTCCAACTGCTAACTTATCCGGAGTAACTAGAACAGTCTAAGGGTTCGACAAAACTTAAAGAATATCCAGACTTAACTGACGAAGCTATACTAGCTGACTCGACTCAGAACAATATTTAAAATTCTGGAGCAAACCCGAACCGAAACGTACAAGTTAAAGGACACTCGAACCACCGGTTTAAACTGGTCGGTTCACTGGATAGCCGAACCACCGGCTCACTGTGGCCGGGAGGTCGGCTGCTGGCTCGGTCCAGCGCAGGGCCTGCTGATGCCCTGGTGAGGTCTTAGGTGCGAGCTGGGCGCTGCCAGACGCTACTGGCGTCGGCAAGACTCAACTAATGCCTATCGGAGGCTACTGAGCTTCGCTGGGTGCGACAGGCGCACAGGCCAACGGTTAACGACCATCAGTTGTTGCTGGCACTGCTGATGGTGACTCGAATCACGGGCGTGCGACTGGACGCTGTTGGTGCTGGCATGGCGCTTGCGCGTCTAGTACTTACCATTTGTTGTTGGGCACCACGGATAGACGACTAGGCACGCTGGCGTGGTCCTGGACACGCTAGCATGCTACTGGACTTACCGACGTGCACAGACGCACAACCGGGTCAAATGGGCATAAGGGTGTGCTGCTGGGCACGACCTGTGGCCGCTGGACTAACCACGCTAACCTCTGAACTATATTAACTTAACCTCTGAACGTGCCCGAGCTACCGGGCTCGGCACTAAGATAGGCGCTATCGGGCACTGCCTGCGCTCGTTAGGCACTACTGGCGCCACCAGGTACACACGCAGACTGTGTTGCGATGCCGAGCGCTGTCGGCATGCGTTGCACTCACGTGCGTCGCGCGAATAGGCACGCACTGACTGGGTGCTACCGGCTTTCGTCGTGACTATGAGCGACACACGACTGGGCGTATGCGCGAGGTCGAGTTTAATTAATCTCTGAATGCTTGTGCCGACGCGGCGCGCGCCCGCGACTCTGACCGAACCTATCGGCCGTCCGACGACTTACTCTGGGACATGCAACGTTAATCAATTCAAAATAACTCGAATAACTCAACAATAAACACAAGTCTCGAGAAACCTCGGCTAAAGACTAAAATGGTTCGGTAAGGCCTATATGGCACCTACGACAACAAACTTTCTAAATAAATGGAAAAAACTTCATAACTTCTTCATGTTCAACCTTATAATACGATAGGTTTGCTAAGAAAATTAACATGGCAAGCTTACCGCTTCGATGCTTATGATACGGTGCTAAGTCCCGAGTACTTGCTTACGCGTGTCTACTCGGTACGCCCGTACGCTATGTTTCTCTCGACTTCCTCGGCGATGAGTGTGGAGCGAACTTCACCTCAGTAGTTGGTATGCTCTCGCTCAACTAAACCTTACTATAATAAATTACCTTGATCAAGGTTTGCTCGGTTCTAAGTAGAAATGCCTCCGGCAATTAAACAAGGTCTTAGGCTTAAGCACTTATCACTCACGGCTATTACTCTCGGCACTCTTCTATATAGCTAAGCATTGAGTATTTTATGAACTAAGCTAAGTATATTGAAGTAAAAATCACTACAAATTGGACCATAAGCTATTTATAATCAATTAGAAAGTTAAGTTAGCATGAGGTGTAACTAGGAAAGACACTTGTCTTCTAAAGAATTTTTAGTGGCAATTTTAATGGCTTAATCACCACATGAGGTGTCATCTCATAAGAACTTCTACTAATAAATTTGCTTAGTTTACAAGCTTAATTGAAACTAAATAATAAGACTTAATATCACAAAATAATCTTAGCAAATGAATAGCATGGCTTAAGCTTGGCGTTTCTCTCACGCGTGCATGGCGCATGGACTTAAGTACTTGGTACAAATGGAACACTTACTATACTAATACTTTAAACTATAATGAAACACTTAGAAAAATTCTAAATATCTAAAATATAGCCTAATTTGCTCGGTTTCGATCGCGGCTTAACTTCAATGATTTATCCGAATATCTCGACTTCGAATAGTACGTTGACTTGAACTTATTAATTCCGAACTCTTTTATTAAATAAATAAAAAGGAATTAAACTCAGAAAATTATTCGGTTACTAGAATAAATTAAATCGAATATTCATTCAACTAACTTGTCGAACTTAGAACTGAAAACTTAATAATTGGCTCGAAACTCATCTTTGGAGATTTCTCGAGTATTCTCTAATTCGATTAATACGTCAATATCGGAACAATTAATCCCGAACTTACTAATGTCTATTTATTAAATAAAGAGACCGAGATTAATTACTAGAATTTGACTCGGTTAATAATTAAAATCAACCGAAGATATTTTCGACTTATCGTCGAACTTGAAATTTAACTAGTTGAATAACTTAGGCTCGAAAATAATATTGAGCATTTACTAATAAAGGCTAACTTATACTCGGAAGCTAGTAGCTTTCCTTTATTAATAAAAGACGGGCTGTTACAATCTATCCCTCTTAAACTTTTTCCGTCCTCGGAAATAATAAAACTGCGGGTACAAGCGAGAGTACAAGCTTGACTCAAACAATACAAAACTTATGGCATATAATCAGAACTCGACATCTGAATAACAAGCTCTAATCTCCACTCATTACTCTGCTTCCAACTTCAAGCATCGCCAATTCACAACATCTAGGTGAATTGTTGATTAATAATAACTATAACACCTTGCTGGCCAAAGGTTCTCCTTTGATCATACTTGCTACTCAAGACACAATTCCTGAGCAAATTGGATATCTCCTTTTGGCTAACTGCGATCTTTAGTATAGAACTCCGTTGTGAAACCCAACTCACGGTGGTATGAACGGAAAACTTTGGAAATACACACATGTACAAATGAGGAAAACTAGCAATCACGGTAACTACCCTTCGCGAATAAATATCCGATGACGCGGCACATCGTTCGCGACACTTTACAATGTGGCATTCCTACTCCTCATCTAGTGAGTGCAGCACGCCTGCATGCAGCACCATCGAATATTGCACCTTCGACATCGATGTAGTCTGCATAACCGGTCATATC